GCCAGGCTTGCTTACTGCCAAACACAGGGGAGTTGGCGCGAACATAGTGAGCAGCTGATATTGCCCCTTAGTTACAAATGGAGAAAATAAGGCATGAAAAGGAGAAGAGACGAAATCATACAAAACGGTCAGCAGTCAAATTCTAAAGAAAAATAAATCTGTGTTTTAGCAAAAATCGTCAGTGAAAGAATTAAGGAAGGGGAAAGCAGAAAACAGAACATGGAAGAGTTTTTGAAACAATGGGGTTTTGTTTTTTTATATTGCCCCTTAGTTACAAATGGAGAAAATAAGGCATGAAAAGGAGAAGAGACGAAATCATACAAAACGGTCAGCAGTCAAATTCTAAAGAAAAATAAATCTGTGTTTTAGCAAAAATCGTCAGTGAAAGAATTAAGGAAGGGGAAAGCAGAAAACAGAACATGGAAGAGTTTTTGAAACAATGGGGTTTTGTTTTTTTAAATTTTCCCATCAGATGTTCATGGATCCCTAAGTTTTTATCCTCATACTTTTGGCCCCCATCATTGCACTGAGTGCCTCATGAACATTAATGAGATTATCTTTACAAACTGTTCCATGAGGTAAGGAACTACTTCCCTGGGATGACTTACAAGAGGGTACATAAAACAGAGAGATTAAGGGACTTGCCCAAGCTCACACAAAATCTACTGAACATCCAGGAACTGAACATAGATCTTCCAAGTATCATTTTAGAACTTAAACCATATGGCCATCCTTTTTCTCCACGCATACATTCTTGTAACCTATGCCAATATATATTCTGCACTATCTTGACTGCTGCTGTTTCACAGTACAGAATATTTCATTTTAGCTCAAGAATTAAAAAACAAAACAAAGTCACCCTACCCGGATCATAACCATGTGGGACTCCAGCAGAATCTCTGGGAAAGAGGGTTTCAGAACATCTAGACTGATATTGGGCACTACAGAAAAGAAAACAAGTGAATAAGAAACCTGTTCGTGCAACCTTCCTTTAATATACACATATGATAAACTCTCTCCTCCTGTACCAAACTTATGACTCATCTTCTTCTGGTACTTCCTTGGTTCCCACTACATTTAATTCATATTCTAAACACAACTTCTTGCAGTCAAGGTAGTATCCCCAAGTGAATTTCACAACTGATCTACTTCTTGATTTCCTACTGCACTTTCTGAAGCATGAGAAACAGATAAACTCTCTGAAATAAACAGTCTTTGTGTTTCGTCAGAAGAGCCTCACTGTTCATACACTGTTCTTTATCCATAGATCACCCATGAGTGGGAGAATGCAAAATGCATGACAATGAGAGAACACTCCAGACTAAGTGAACAGCCCAGAATTTATTTCTCTTAGGTTAAATATAGTGCTTCTAAAAGGCTGCAAAATCATAACAGCTTTTAACAAAGTCAGAATCCAGCTAATTGTATGATAGAAGTGAAGGTGCTGAGTAATACAAACTAAGCAGAGCAGTGAATAAGGCTGTGATACAGGTTAGGGATGTTAAGAATCAATTAATTGAATAGTCGAGTAACTTCATGAATTCTTATCGGTTAGTTGACTATTCTATAGTTCCCAAGGCGGGGCCGGCAGCTAGTGTGCTCTGGCCCCACTCCCCAGAAGTCCCCTGCCACTCCGCACTGCTGCCTCTGTATGAGAGGCAGCAGCGTGGGGTGACAGGCGGGAGGTGGTCTGCAAGGGGGGGCCAATTTAAAAAACAGCTCCCCTTGCGGATCGGCTGCCTGTCACCCTGTGCTACTGCCTCTGATAAAGAGGAAGCTGCGCAGGATGGCGGCGACCCCTGTCTGGAGAAGGGGGGGAGGGGGATGAGCTTCCGGACCCAGCTCATGCTGGAACTAAGCTGGGTTGCCTGCTCGCCTGGCTCCTAATACACTTTAAATGCAGAGCCGCAGCAGGGATAGGTCCTGGACCCCAGCATGAGCCAGAACTGAGCAGGGCTGCTGGCCAGCCTGCTAAAAATTTTACTGTCAAGGGGGGAGGGAGGAAAATGCGTGTGGTCTATATCATTAACCTATAAGCTTTTGCTTATCGGTTAATTGACTACGCTATTACATCCCTAATACAGGTCCAACTTTTGGATTATGCTGAAGGGGCTGTGTGTCACAACTGGCACTCAACTCTATTCTTACCCCATGTCAAAATTCTAGCAACTTACAACATGAATATTGGAATGTTTTTAGAAAAAGAGAACAAGGGAAGTATAGAATAGGGTACTGAAGATCCTGCACTTCTGAAAAATTATCCAAAACCTTATATTATACACTTTATTTCAGAATAGTCCCTTCAAATATAAAGCTTTTAAGGGGGAGGTCTCAGAATAAGCCTGAAGGTGAAACACTGGTTACAACTTTAACTATTGAGTTGTGACCAGCTCTTCCACAATACTTCGCACGTCTACAGCTCTGAAGATCTCAAAGTGATTTATAAACATATATTTCACAATCCCACTATCCCACATTTTACAATAGAGAAACTGAAGCAGAGTGAGTGGCCCAAGTTCATGCAATAGGTCAATACCAAAGCTGGGAACAAACACAGGGATCCCAAACACAGAGAGACTTGCTCTGACTTTTGGATAATCTCACTCTCTCCTCTTGAAAACGAACAAGCCAACCTGCATATTGTCCAAGAGATTTCATCACTTACACTTGGGATTGATGTGATCTTCAATATTCCAAAGGGCATTGGGGGTATCCTTCACATATGGAGTGCAGGTGACTTCCACTTGTTCCCAGCCCCTGACAAACAGCAGAACAGTCAGTCGCCCACCTCCCAAAGTTCAACTACCAATTAGCACCAATTGCAGCATTCAACCCAACAGATTCATTTCTGTGTACTCAAAAGTCCTCTCTTATCAGAGTATAAATAGAAACTGGACTGGATCTGTGAGGTCACAAGATTGCTGTATATATAAAGATCAAGATTTCCATATTGGGGTTCCTCAAATTAGGTACTGAAATTCATATTTAGATATGTGGCTTGATTTTCAGAGGAGGGGAGTATCTGTAGTGCCCATCAACTTCTACATTCTCCATTAGAAAAGTCATCACCATTGCTTTAAAAGTCAGTTCATATCTACAACAACTCCATTATAGAAACAAAAGAATTGCCATAGGAGATCAGACCAATCATTCATTGAATCCATTATTATTGTCTCAGAAGTGGCCAGTACTAGATGCTCAGAAAGAAAAATATGAAACGCTTAAGTGGGAAACTACAGAACAACTAGGGATGTTAGCTTAGTCTTTTAAACAATTAACCTATAAGCCTAGGCTAACCAATTAATCCTAATGACTACACGCACTGTATCAGAGGAAGCAAGCGGGAAGGAGATGGGAGCCAGTGTCCGTGGGGAGCCAACTTTTAAGCCAGCTCTCCATGAGTGCTGGTTCCTGCGGAGGCAGCAGTATGGGGGGAAGACGGGAATTGGTGCTGGGTGGGGGGAGGGAAGGAGCCAGCTTAAAAGCCAACTTTCGACAAGTGTCCCCCACCCCTCCTGCTGCCTCTGACAGAGAGGAAGGAATGAGGAGGCTGAGGGGGGCAGATGGGAGCTGGTACACATGGGAAGCCAGCTTTCAAGCCGGCTCCCTGTGCTTATAGGCTCACGTGGAGCCACCTGCCCTCCCCACCCTTGCTGCCTCTCTATCAGAGGCAGCAGCGCAGGGGGGAGAGGCGGAAGCTGATAGCAGGGAGCAGGCTTTTAAGATGGCTCTCCACATGTACCAACTCTGCAGATCTGCCTCTGGGCCTGGGCTTGCCGTGGGCAGAGGCTGCGCCGTGGGATGCCTCTGTGATCTATGGCAAAATAATGGGGTGCAGGTGGGGATACAGGAGAGGATTCTGACCTGGGGCAAATAAAAACTCCTTTCCTCTTCCAGTGCCAGTTGTATCTGTTATACTCCAGATTTGTGTACACCCATAGGAAAGAAGGGTGTAGGACAATATTGTGCTCCAGGTCTTGTAATTAAAAAATAAAAAGGAACCAATAAAAAAATATAACAGCACAAGGGACTGGATGGTTCACAGGATTGTGGAATGGGATATGGAGCCTTTCACCTATAGGTCACTGGTGGCTATAGCTAAATGAACTGGTGAGGTAAGAATCAAAGTTTCTAAGGGTCTACGTTGCAACCATCATCAGCACAATTGTCCCCCCTACTGGCAAAATTTTTGCAAAGGCCAAGGAGTGATCGGTTTATGGAAAATGAACTCAACATTCATGCCTAATGGAAGTCCCCCATGAACAAGGCTGAAGCACTCTCCCGTGATGATGTCTGGGAAGGACCTCTTGGTAAAGGTCCTTACTATCCAGAAGTGCCATTTTCTAGCCCCTTCACTGTAGTGAATTTCCTAACCACCATCCAAGATTTTACTCTGATTTTCTACCTTTCGGATGCCTTTTTCCTTTTAAGAATAGGAGGAAAATAATAAAAGGTATGTATTCTCTGATTCAGATTAAAACATACCACTGACCAAAGGGATCTGGCGTCAATTGTGTAAGAAAAGGAACATCAGCTGCTAACTTTGGCAAGAAGAATCACAAGCTAGGTTGAGAGATAATTTACCATTTTGGTAGCGTTTTCCCAGAGGACCCAAGTATGCATCCTGTGGCCAGATGAATCAGTCGGATCTGACTCCGTAAGACTTTAATACGTTTCCCAGCCTTCCTGCCTACCACCTCAATCCGCCAAAAATCGTTGGAATCTCCTGTTCCATTCTACCATTCAAATGCACCACCAAAAAAACAACAACAACAAAACAAAACAACAGCACGTCACTGGAGAACAAAGCATAGAAAACAATTGCTTCTGAAACTTTACAGTATTGACAAAGCTGAGTGAATCAGACCCAGCCTCACCCCCCTGAAAGTTAACAACAGCAATTCCCAGCAGGAAGAGAATTTTATAGATACCAGCAATACATGCATCATGTATCCATGTTTATTATCTACCTATGTATTTTCCTCACCATTCCCAAAATTATTTGCTTCAACTTCATATATGGCTCTCAAGATATGAAGTTACATTTTAAAAAGATTTTAAACAGGGGATGATTTGGCTGGATAGCATAGTGGGTTCATTGAGTAGCCTGCTTCTGGGCATTTAAGTCTCAAAGAAGATTTCATTAACAAAAGTCAGAGCACACTCAGCCTAGATTTGAGACGCCATTATCTATATCACAAAGCTATATTTAGAAAACAGTAAGTGTGAGTAAAGCTTTAAGGTTGCACAGTTAAGAATTTAAAGAGCTCTGTGCTGCCAAACCTAGGGTTGTGATGACAGTTTAAAGCTGTTTCCTTGTACGTGCACATTTTTGAAAGATTTTAAATATGCGCTATTCTCATTCTTACACACGGATATGTATCATGTATTAACATATGTAATATTCCAGGGTAATATCCCTTGTACTGCCATGCATTGTTAAGTGTTCTCATGGATAAGAAACTGGCTAAGAAACAGAAAACTAAAAGTAAGAGTAAATCTTTTGTCTTGGGATGAACCTCCCTCAAGTGAAAGGAAGTATTAGCTTACCTACTAATTTAACCGTACTTACTATTCCATATCCAGTGACCTGAAAGTGTTTTCTTGTCATGGGGGCCTCATGCTGGTGACTGTGAAGATTTCTAGAAGTTCTAAAATTAAATTACAAGTAAAACTCAGTTTTCAGTTTTACACTGAGAATGGTTAGTGTGAAGAGCTTTCATTCTGGTCAACAATAAAGACTTGTTTATACAGATTCCAGAGCACATTACAGGCATTACAAATTGATTTCTGAACCATATACATAAGAAACACTTCACAGGCCACATTCAACTACCTCTGGAGTTCAAAAGCATATTTACCACACTAAGAATGTGAAAGGGTAACCAGTTTCCCAATAAGCATCACCCTTAGTGGGTGATGCTTACCGGATACTGGTTAACAGGTGCCAGGGAGCAGCCTGTCCCAGAAGGATTGGGAGCCAGGCTGGGAGCCTCTAGCCACTGCCGTGGCAGCAGCCCCAGCCCCAGAACCAGGACTGGGTGCCTCCTGGTGCTGCCCCAGGACTGGACCTGGAACCCCCCTTAGCCAGTTAACTGGTTAAATGTTAGGTTAACCTAATGTTTAACTGGTTAACTGATTAATCAGGATTTTACATCCCTAGACCACACCATGATATGATTTAAAGATAGAAATTAATAGTTCAAATGAAAATACTGGGAAGTTGGATTTTAAGAATACAATTACCCAGAGTACTAGGGCTAACATCACTGTTCTTGAAAAACATGCCATGAGGTCTTTGGTCTTGGGCACCCTTAACAGTTTTATTTTCCATGCAAAAGACTGAAGGCTCTGGCAGCACAAAATCCTCTAGGACCATGATGAACCACTGGGCTAAGATTCAAAGGAAAAAGTATCACTTGCTGCATCATTTGGGTAGCACCTAGGTTTTGCTCGGTTCTTCCATTCTAAGCCCAGCCCTTCTCTGCACATGAGAGCTGACAAACCAGAGCTGCCAATTCATGATTTTATCATGACTCTCATATATTTGGTATTTTTACTACTTAAGAATCTCAGTGTTCTCTTATAAAAAGCAAGTTTCTAGCTCTCATGATTGCAGATAAAGTCTGAAAACATGGACCCTCAAGAAGGCTCAAAAGCCCAAAATAAAAAGCACCCAACGTTTGTTTGTTTTTTTAAATCTCATAATTTTTTTGAGCCTGATTAATGGTTTTTGAATGCCTGGGAAGGCAATGCTGTAGATTACAGAGTAACATAGCTCAATTTGCAGGTCAAAAGAAATCCTATATATTTAAAGCATTTAATTCCTAGAGAAGGCAAACTCCTCTGTTGTGCAGTGAAAGAGGAGGAAATGTAGACTTGAAACCAGCATAGTAGGTTTACTTACTATTTACTGAAAAGGAAGGAGTCAAGACAAGCTTGCATATGAATTTAAATAGTTTCACTGCTACTGTAGTCCTTGTTATCAGAGGGGACATGACAGAAGTACAAAGGGCAATAGTGAAGGTACTATTTGCCTCATATTCCTGGCATGTTAGGCAAAAGCAAAGCACTTAATTTGCTTGGCAAATTGGAAGGGCAGGAAGGGTCTGAAATTCCTGTCTTGCTGTGGCATAACCCTTGACTTTGCATATTGTGCAGCTGAACAGACTTCTCATGAGCTGAAGATAGTTCTCTCAAAAGGAAAATACTTCATTGTGATGAAGCTGAGAGAATGTCTCAGAGATCCAATTCAAAATATGGGACTGTGGAGAGGGAAACTCCACAAACCCCTTCCTGAGAATAGAGATATGGAGAAATTCTATAGCAGAGGTTCTCAGACAGGGGTTCAGACCCCCGTAGGGACCTCTGAGCAGGTTTCACAGGGTCCTCCAAAATAAACTAGACAGCAAGACCAGCATTAGACTTGCTAGGTCCAGGGAATAAAGCAGAAGCCCAAGCTCTGTTGTGAGATGCTGAAGCCAAAGGCCAAGCCCCACCATGCTGGGCTGAAACCAGAGCCTGAAGGAACATTGCTTTGCAGGGCCCCTGGCAGCTGCCCATATTGCTACCTTTTACAGCTGTCCCTGGTTTTTAATTTACTAGATATGCAGAAAAACAATTTGTGGCACAGCTGGATTATGATGTGTTGGGGGGGGTGTTAGAAAGAAAGGTTGAAAACTTGTTATCTATAGCTCTAAAGAACTTGAATATTTGTGCTAGCCCAATTCTAGTCATTGACAGGCCAAATCTCACACCACCATACTCTCTTATCAATTCTATGGCCAATGCTAATTCTGTTTAACTTCCAGAAAACAGGGATTGGGAAATACAATCTCTTACATTTTTCTAAAATTTCTTAAACACCTTACTCTTTGTGCTCCAGCCGGATAACATCTCCGTGCCTCACAAACTCCACAGAGGAGGCAGGATCTAAATGATCTGCTGGGAGAAAAACAGATCATAGCAGGGTTTAGAAAAGAATACTCCTAGAGATGGTTTCAGAATGCTGAGCCACAGGCAATCAGGCGATGCTCTCAGCACTCACTTCATTGGACCACGGATCCAGAGCAACCCTTAGCATCAGGAACTTAGCATCAGGCTCCCCTTGAAGGACTAGCCCCACTGTTATTTCTGGAACCATATAATACCATGTTCCAGACAGCAGATTCTACCCTAAAATAGAGAGATGGATGCCCCTGTGTACATCAGGAAGGCTGAGAGAACATTCAACATTCAGCACGTATACTTTAAATATATACTAAGGGTTGGTTTTTGCTTTTTTTTTAAGCAGCTTTGTCTGTGTAGAATCTGGTTTTAGTTCTCTTCCTCTCTAATTGTTAACTAATGTTCTTATCTGCCTCTTAAGTATCTAGTTTTTAGGTGCTAATAGACTATCTGTTGTTTTCCAGTTACATACATGCTCAGCTTTCTCTTTGACACTTATCTACCCTTTACCTCTTCCTCCCCCCTCCCATTTTTTTCCTTCTTCCCCTCATCCCCTCCTTTCTTCCCTCATTTATTTTGGTTCTGGACATCCAACACTCCGGTCATCTGAAGAAGTGGGCTGTGCCCACAAAAGCTCATACCACCATCTACATATTTTGTTAGTCTTTAAAGAGCTACCAGACTATTTGTTGTTTTTTAAACTTTAATCTTGTTAGGCATTGATAGCACAGGAAGCTATCATATATAGTTACTGGCTTCTAAGATATGGTCTGCATAGATAACAGGTCCCAACACACAATATTCCATTTTTACCAAAGCAACATTCCACTCAAATCAATGGAATATTGTGTGTTGGGAACTGTATGCACTGTGAGCCAAACATATGAATTAAAGAAAATGATAACTGCAATCTGCCCCATTTTTATACCTATAAATTGCAGTCCTTGGTCATCTGTCATGTTACTAATACAGCTCTCAGTTTGTGAAAAGTTAGGACATCTCACCTGTACAGTCTGAAAGGAATATGAAAATGTAATTGATAATTTCCCTCACCCACAAAAATCCTTTGTTATTTTGGAAGAGATCCCAAGAATACAGTAGTAAAAAAACTGAAATATTAGTTAGATAGTCCACTTTGCTAGAGTTCGGCTTACCTGTGTTGGAATCATGTTTCTTTATAATCCACAGGTTGTTTGAGTCCTTGTGCAAATAGGCAGTGACCTGGAAACACAATAATAAACCATTTCATTTCAGCAATAAGTCAGGAACTAGTCAAAGCACAAGACTCAATCCATCGCCAAGGCAAAGTACAAAATCCATCTATCACCAGGGCAAAAATACCAAGTGCATCCAGTGCTAATACAATAAAACCAAATACAGGATAACTGTGTGATGTTTCTGGATTACAAAGTCCTGACTTCTGGACACTGCTTAACCCAGACCACATCCCACACTTGTTTAATGAAGTTGTGTGTTACCAATGTGTGTTATGCCACTTATACCTGTAACATCTCTGTCTACTTTCCCCTGTTGCTGTGCAAGTGTTGTGCATCCCTGGTAATAACTTATAAATCATTTCACAGAAGCATAGAAATGTAGGAGAAGAGGAGACCTCAAAAAGTCATCATGTCCAGCATCCTATGCTGAGACAGGACCATGTAAATCTAAACTACCCTTGACATGTATACTAGGGGGCTGCGTCTAGATTGGCATGATTTTCCGGAAATGCTTTTAACGGAAAAGTTTTCCGTTAAAAGCATTTTCGGAACAGAGTGTCTAGATTGGCACGGACGCTTTTCTGCAAAAGCACTTTTTGCGGAAAAGCATCCATGCCAATCTAGACGCACTTTTCCGCAAAAAAGCCCCGATCGCCATTTTCATGATCGGGGCTTTTTTGCGGAAAACAAATCTGAGCTGTCTACACTGGCCCTTTTGCGCAAAAGCTTTGCGCAAAAGGGACTTTTGCCTGAATGGGAGTAGAAAAGTATTTCTGCAAGAAGCACTGATTTCTTACAGTAGGAAATCAGTGCTTTTGCAGCAATTCAAGTGGCCAGTGTAGACAGCTGGCAAGTTTTTCCAGAAAAGCGGCTGTTTTTCCGGAAAAACTGGCCAGTCTAGACACAGCCGGGATGTAATAGTATAGTTGATTAACCGATTAGCAAAAGCTTATAGGTTAATGCTATAGACTACATGCATTTTCCTCCCTTCCCCACCTGTACATTTTTTAGCAGGGTGGCCAGCAGCCCAGCTCAGTTCTGGCTTGTACTGGGTCTGGGACCTACCTCCACTGCAGCTCTACATTTAAAATGTATTAGGAGCCAGGCGGGCAGACAGCCTGGCTCAGTTTCAGCTTGTGCTGGGTCCAGGAGCTCAAGCCATCCCCCTCCCCGGGACAGGGGCTGTTTTTTAAACTGGCTCCCCTTGCAGACCAGCTTTCCGCCTGACACCCTGCACTGCTGCTCTGATACAGAAGCAGCAGCACAGAGTGGCAGGGGGCTCCTTGCAGTGAGGCTGGAGTGCACTGGCTGTTTGGGGACTATAGAATAGTCGAATAACCGATAAGAATTTATGAGGTTAATCGACTATTGAATTAACTGATATTTAACATCCCTAATCCTTACCATTGTCGACAGGTGGCCAATCTGTTCTTAACAACAGTGATGGGGATTCCACAGCCCATTCCAGTACTAAACTGCCAGTATTTAAAGTTTTTGCTAACATCTAACTTACATTTCTCTTGCTACAGATGAAGGTAAGACAAGAACTAATGGTCTTAATGACCTATCTCTTCTCTTAGTCCTACTTCAGAGGCGCTTTCCACAAGATCTTCTGTTCTGCTAACACAAACTTTCTGATATGCTTCAGTTGGTATCAGAAATCTTGGGCCTGACATCTCGATCACTTCCACAGCAACCAATTGCAAATGTCACCAAGAGATGGTTAAAGTTGCAGTTTGGGAATAAGCAGCAGGTGCAGACATTAAGATCCTATTTCTAAAGTAATTGTTCCAAGTGACGGAGAATGAAACAAATAACTGTCTATCCTTAACATCTTTCACCTGAAAATCTTAAAGCATTTTACAAACCCCCAAGCATACACCACAAAGCAGGTCTTCTTGGGAAGCAGATATTGCTGATTTGACTCTTAGAGAAAATGGAAAATTCATTTTTGTGCTGCCTCATTCATTAGTAATATATGTTATGAGGTTGCTGAGTCCCTCTTTCATTTTTTTATTTTAATTATCAGAGGTGTCTACAGAGTTCAGGTAGGTGGTGCCTTTTATTATTGTTAGTTTAGAAATATAAGTCTAATGAATGAATCTTCACAAACTCCCCAGTCATTAACCTCAAAACAGAGAAAGAAAGAGAGACACAAAAAGAGGAGGCTTTCTCAAGATCACAGAGGAAGTCTGTGGCAGAGCTGGGGAAAGAAAGCAAAAAGTCCTGACTCTCATTTCTCTGCTCTTACTCTTAACAATGTCTCCTTCAAGATCAAAAAGTAGATTTGTTTTAAACATAAGGATTTTCACTATTTTCCATGAGGTGCCAGCTGCTCTTTCTTTTTATGTTGTCTTGCATGGCAAGACAATGGCTTTATTTTAATGCATCCTTTGTTTTGCAGATCACCCATTCCAGTGTAACAGTGATATGAACTGACACCCCTTTACTGCTTAGATTTCCAAACAACAGCAAAACTCAGCATCTTAACCCTGCCCCATCATGCAGTGCTCAGAGACCAGCATAGACATTTAGGACTGTCATGCTAATTCTCAAGTGGGATATGGTAAAGATTTTCACCTTCCTACTCAGAGTGATAAAAGAACATGAACATGGAAAAGATCAACTGCTTTTAGTAGAAGCACCAAAGTCAAGGGAGCACGCTTGCTACAGTGAGGACATTTGTAGAGCAACATACTGACCTGCTGCTGACGAGCCCCCACGCCCTCAGGATAAAGGTGCCAATGTGAATGAAGGTATCCCCCTGCCATCCGAAGGTTCTTCATTGTGATCACAGAACCATAGGCCAGGTCTGAAAGAGAAGAAAGGTCTCCTGTAAAATATCATCGCACAGTCAGGCTGCAGTACAGTGGTGACTGGCCTATTTCCCTTTGTATGCATAATTACAGTTAGTTTGCTCAAATGACCGGGGCGGGCGTGGGGAGGGGGAGGAGTGGTCTGGGATTAGCTTGCTATCACCTTACTCACCACCATCCAGCACAACCTATTAAAAAGGACAAAACTACACTGTGGCACTACCTATGCATTTCAAAAAAAGTGGAGAAGAGGGAGGATTTTCCAAACTTAACACAAACCCAAATATTTATAAATTAATCATAATCATTCAGGTATTTGGGTTGGTTTTTTTCTTCTGCACAGAGACATGGTCAATATGAGAACTAGTCAATTAAAAAAAAGTGTTTTAACAGCTTCAGATGTTGACTCTGCAGTGATCTTCTGACAATGTTTGCGGCCCTAGAACCATACCTTCCCATTTGTTAAAATGTTTTCTCACTTGTTGCTATGAAAAGGACTCAAACAAATCAGAGGGAAAACTAACTGACAGTATGGAAGTCACAGTGAAATTGAGTATACCTATACCGCTGTCAAATGTACAAAGTAACAAAGAGACTGTTTGCCACAGATTTGAAGCGGGGGGTGGGGGTGGAAGGAGACACATGCATTATGGGATGCTGACGATATGTACCTAGAACTACCCACTGCACAGTTTTGGTCCCAGCATGCACTGGAAGCATAACCCAGAATGCAAAGGGGTGCAGGAATTATGGGATAGCTACCCACAGTGCATTGCTCTCAAAGTCAATAGGAGCTATTCTACTAGGGATGCGCTACTTCAAATTGTGTCAAATTCTTGTGCACAGTAGGGACATGCACCTTCGATTTTACAAAACTGGGTGCTAAAAAAACTTGACCTTAATAAAGTCAACCTTATCTCACAGTGTAGACATGGCCAAGGAGAGGCTGTGGGCAGAGCACCACTGAAGTCTGTCCATCCTCTATAGCTGGATAGCTTTTGGAGCATTTGACATTTGAGCTAAAGTTAAAGCACTCCTAAAGCTGCTCTTAATTACTTTGGGGATTTAGTGACCCCTAGCTTGCTTCAGAATGAGGAAGCAATAAAAGAGGCACACAGCCATCTTTATACCCTAAGCCCTATCCTACACCGAACACAGAGCAACTGGACTACAGGATCTGGCCCCAAATATGAGCTTTAAGTTGATTGTATCTCTTTAATATAAGTCTTTCCCTTGCAAAAATGGAAAGCACATTACATTGTATTAACACTTACAGAAAAGGTAATACCAACAAATAAAAAGTGAACCTGACAAGTCTTGTTTCATTGTCCCAAGGGCAGCAAAGGACAAAAAATAAAGCAAAAAACAAAAATTACAAAAAATAGGCTCGAGCCATAGCACTATTTCAGTTTTTGTAGTGGTAGGGGTCATTGAAAACACAAAGAAGAAAGTAATAACAGGCATTGAAGCTTGGCACACACATGGTCCCTCAGCATGCATGTTACAACACTCTGGCCTTTTAACACTGGGGGCTGTAATTGCAGACCACAGGTTTGCTCACATATAAAGCCTTCATGCCTCTTGGACAGGAACAGACAAGAGACACTCAGGGTTAAGGAAGAACCATGAAGGGGGCTTTTCCAAGTAGCCAACACCCATTCCCAGCTACAAAAGATGGTCCCTGTGAGATACTAAGAGTCACTCAATACCAATTGGCAGAGGGCCCACAAAACTGTAACTCATATGAGATCTGCATACTCACTACACCCAAAATACTACTGTCATAATATTACTCCTGAGGGAATTCTGCACTAAAAAAATTAAAATTCTGTGCACAACATTTTAAAATGCTGCAGATGTTATTTGTCAATGGGGCTATGTCTAGACTGCAAGCCTCTTTCGAAAGAGGCTTTTTCGAAAGATACTTTCGAAAAAGCCTCTTTCGAAAAAGAGCGTCTAGACTGCAAGCAGAACTTTCGAAAAAGCAAGCCGCTTTTTCAAAAGAGAGCACCCAGGCAGTCTGGATGCTCTCTTTCGAATACGCCCTGTTTGCAGCCAAGAACACCATTTTTCGAAAGAGCACTTTCGAAAAAAGGCGTTCTTCCTCGTGAAATTAGGTTTACCGCCATCGAAAGAAAAGCCGCGTTCTTTCAATTTAATTTCGAAGGAACGCAGCAGCAGTCTAGACGCAGGTGCAGTTTTTTCAAAAAAAGGATACTTTTTTCGAAAAAAACCCTGAGTCTGGACACAGCCTAAATGTGGAGGTTCCAGCACTGCAGTGGGGAGCACAGGCCACTGGCTGCACTGAGATAGGAAATCATCCTGCTGCTTCTCTTTCCTCCCCAGGACAGGTGAAGCTGTACCTGATCCTAACACAATGCAAGTGGTGGGCCTGCCCCTGGGTCTCTGACCTCCAGGACAATCACACCAGGTATGAGCAGGCAGCCTCAGCCCAGCAGGATCCGAGTATAAGGAACTTAGTGTGGAGGGATCCAGATATGGGGTGACAGCAGATAGATAGTTTTGGCTGGATGTTTGTTATCTTAGAAGAGGTTCATTAGGACTGGGTAACCTGGCCAGAGGGCCAATCGTCTGAAGACCCACCAATCAAGGCTGACAACCCACAGGGTTGAGAACTACAGTACTGCACCCAGTAGCAGGAAGTGCTCAGCAGGTAAGTGCCTCCTGCTACAGAGTAATATAAGGGAGCAAAAAGGCATTATAGTTATAAATCACTTAAACACATAAAAAGGCCAGAGCTCTTGGAATCAATGAAAGAAGGGCTGCAGTCTGTGGGAACTGATTACAAGTGAGAAACTGCCCCAGACCAAGACTGTAATCTATTAAGCTTTAGACATTAGAAAGTGTGTTTTAGTTTGTTTTGCTTGTAACTGTATCTATCTCTTTTTCTCTTGCTTAGTATTGCCTAAATCTCTATTCTTTATTATTAAATGTATTCATGTTCTATTACAAAGTTATCTTAAATGAAGTGTGATTCGTCAACTAACACATCAAGCATTGCACTTAATTTCTGTGAGTATCATGGAAAGAGACTGGACAATGCAGGGAGACAGCTAAGGAATTCAGAAACTGGGATTCATTGATCTTTACCTGCAAGACAAAATTTAGACTGGCAAGGTCTCAAGGCTGGTGATGCAAACAAGTGTGGCAGGGAGCTGACATGGACCAATTTCTAGCATAGCTCACTGTTGCTGAGGCAACTCACTATTGCTGGAGAATCTGCTGACCAGCTAATAATTCCTTTTAGTTTTTTAAAGATATAGCTATGTGCCAGAGTTAGTTTGAGGAGTTTACTTCCCCAAGGAACTAGACACTTACGCTCTGGAACGGAGACATTGTGAAGATTGTTCCCAATCAGTCGTGATTGAAAGGCAGAGCTGAAAAAACCATCCCCGGGCCCACTAGGAGAAAGCAAAGAAAGTGAAGACCGTGAGACTATGGATATAAGAGTGCAGAGCTGAAATTTGCATTACCAAATAATTTAAAAGAAGAAAACAAAAAGACAACTAGTCTGTCTCAAAATACCAGAGAAAGAGGATTTCAGCTCCTGTAGGTGCCTGTCTCTCACAATGGGCTCAAGTCACTTGGCTGCAACAAATACACTACACAAGTGATTTTCAACAGCTTCAAGGATTTGAGAGGGTTTCTATGGCCATCAAAAGTTAATCCTTTTAGTTCTGTAATGAAGTACAGTGAGTTTTCTTTGAAAGTGAACCATTCCTAAGCTACTTAGGTGGACAGGGTCAGAGTTACTGTTATAGTCTCCATGATTTAATGAAATACAATATCTCTGTACAAATAAACAGATTAAACTAATTAATTAAATATATTTTGATCCACCTACACTGGGCAGGGAACCATGTTTAAGCAGTTTCTGAACTCTATGCCAGCTGAACTAACCAACTACTAACAACATGATTAGGCTGGTGTACACAACCTGCCCCATCACCTTGCTTTCAGGGCACCCTTTATCCCACCTTCCACTGGGGCACAATGTGTGTTGGCTATCCTGCCACCCACAGGCAATCGCCCTATTCCCTAGGCCATGCCAGAACCTGCCCCACCACCTTGCTTTCCGGAAACCCTTTATCCTGCCTCTCCCTAGGTAGGCAGGACTAGAACGCTGCCCTCCCCAAACAATCACCCTATCCCCTAAACCACGCCGAGACTGGGACCAGGACCTGCTCCACCACCTTACTTTCAGGGCACCCTTTATCCCACCTTCCACTGGGGCACACTGTGTGTTGGCTATCCTGCCTCTCCCTGGGTGGGCAGGGAGAGGCGAGATAGCCTTATAAGAACTATGTTCTAGTCAAGGCAGGAATCTAAGCAAAGATGTGGCCTGTAAATATGCATCTGATGCTAAAACCTTAACATGAGTAAAACTAGAACAAACAATGCCTCTCAATTCAAAGGGAAGAGGATGTTATTTTCTTTCTGTGCTGAGGGAGAAAGTAAGAGGGAAAGCTTGATAAATACCTTTTATTTAACACTGCAAAGTGAACAGCAAACTGAGTAGTGTAGAGGACAAGTGGCAGTAGGATGAGGCAGAATACACGAGCCAACAAGTGTTTCCCCAGGGTGACCTGTAGATAGAATCAAAATCAAACAGAGCAGAAGAAACCCTTCTGATTATGATTGCCATAAAAACCACCATGAAGCACAACACCAAGCAGCTCCTTTGCAAGCTAAAAGATTTTCCCAAAAAGGCTGAGGGAAAGATGGAAGCCAAACCACATTCTCCCACTGTGCTTTCCAAAAAGTGGGCCTCATTTGGAAATATGGGAAAAACAGCCTTTATTTTCAGAAATGCACAGCTACCACATCTGCAACTGAAGTCAATAAAAGCTGTCCAAGATCAACATCTTGGAAAATCAGGCCCATATTGCCTATATAATTTATTGCATAGGACTTGAAAAGAAATGAAAGGTGGGGAGAAGCTTGTGGAGTAAGAACTGTGGCTTTTATGGTGAAAGGAGAAAATGAAAGCATGGGAAGGACCAATTTATAAGAATTTTGGGAAAAATGATGAGGCTCTCTCAGATGTGGATATAAAAATGGCTTCTTGATCAACGAGATTTTCTAAGAATTTGGATATATAAAGGTTAAGTCTGCCTAAATCAGGTTTAATTGATGTCTATCTACTTCAACTATCTTAGTTTTTTTAAGTACTTATCACTTAGCTATTAAGCTAGTATTTTTCAAAATGGGCCATGGGCTACTTTGAGAAAGCTGCCAGTGGGCCGCTCTGGTTTGTTTACTTAGGCTACATCTCTACACTACAGGGTTTTTGCAGGATATATGAGGTTTGCTCTTCTGTTTGCTCCGCCGTTTTTTTGTTTTGTTTCACAAGGCATAAGGGCTCCGTCGAAATTCATTTCACAAGGCATAAGGGCTCCGTCGAAAGACAAAGCTTTTCTGCCATTTGGCCCCATCAAGCCTCTTCAGCAAAAGCTATTGGAAAAGGCTATGCAAATTGCGGAGCTTTTTGCGATAGAAGACTGTAGTGTAGCCCTAGCCTTAATGGTTCCGCAGCACCTATCGGCTGTAAATGGCAAAATGGAGCCAATGGGAGCCACAAGGCTAAGCGGCTGTGGAGCCATTAAGTAAACAAACTGGAGCGGCTCGTTAGCAGTTTTCTCAAAGCGGGACGGATAGCTAAGCAATTCCCATCTCTTGACAGTAAGGCAAATTATTTTTAAAGTAATAACAAAAACTATGTCTATGTCTCATTGTGGTCCAGATCCTTAACCCACTGAGGTCAATGAAATATTACTCCTAGGGGAACTCTGCACCACTGTACAATGCAGAATTTACACAAAATTAATATTCTGCACAGAATTTCATGTTTCCTCTACAAAACTGGGGCTACAGAACTGCTAGCCACCAGTAAGGACTGTTGTACAGTGCAGAGCCCAGCTCACAGTGATAGGCATGTCCTGCCCAGCAAGCACGGAGGCTCCGCTTGCTCTAGTTCAGCAGTTCAACAACCAGTCTGCGGACTGACAGCAGGCCGCGAACCCCTGTCTGCCATGCCCCAGTACATTGCCAGAACACGCCCTCAGCTTTTATTTAGCCTGGCCTGCTGGGCTTTCAGAGAATTCCCTTCATGCCCCATTTTGCATGCAACAGCAGAGTTAGTGAGTGGAGTGGATAGCAGCCAGGTGTGCTGCAGTTGGAGCCGGGACTGCAGTGAGGCTGTCCATACTGGAGCAGCTTCACCGTGGCCCCAGTTCCAGCTCTGGCAGCTGCTACACAGCCTGGCTGGTGGGGCTATGTGGAGAACAGCTGCCCCGGCCAGTGGGGCCCAAACACTGGGTGAAGGTCAGGTGCCCCAGCCAGTGGGGCCCAAGCGCCAGGTGAAGGACGGCTGTCCCAGCTGGTGGGGCCCAAGTACCAGGTGAAGGGCAGCTGCTCTGTCCAGCGGAGCCAAACGCCGCACAGCTGCCAGGGCCAAGCACCCCG